AACAAAAACTTTTATTTCTCTAATAAAAGGTTCAACAACAAAAATAATATTTATTGTTATCAATAAAAAGATAACAAGTAACAACACAAATTTCAAGAAACAATTGGTGGGTTTTTCGACGTTTCTTGACAAGATGTCTTACATGGTCAATGAAATGGGGTGCTTCAGCTTAATTCTCTTTTTTTTTTTGAAGAAAAGAGGCCACGTGGAGATTTTGTACGACGGCAAGTCGCTTCAAACGGATACTTTTAGTATTATGGGGGGGGAGTTGTGCATTTAAAATTGTTTTTATTTTATGTAATTTTCTTTTTTGTTAATTTCATATGTAAAATTCAAACCAATAAAATGTCACGGCAAGACTACGTCGTTAAACCAAAAAAAAAAAAAAAAAGTAATAAATGTGAAAATTCAATTACTGAAATGTTGCACAAAGTCATTATGATTAGCAAAACAAAATATAAACAAAGCACAAAGACTAAATAAACCTGTTCAACTCAAATAGAATGAGTCTTCGGAAAATAGTTCAAAAAAAAAAAGGGGGGCCTGGACCTACGAAAATTTAAAAATAATATATTCGGAAAGTTTTAATTAAAGAATCGAAGTAAAGAAAGAAATGGATACCGAAAGGATAATAGTATCTTTGATGGAAGAACAAATGCAATAATGCAAGGAGGAAGAAACGTCAAAACAAGTGATCGTTATAGGATCAAAGTTTGCAAAACAACTCTAGAAAAAATTAAAAATTAATTACAACTAATTAGGAAATGTAAAATGCAGATAAAGAATAACTGTAATTAAATAGCAAGAAAGAATTTTAAGCATTAATAGAACACCACGTTTGAATTAAAAAAAGAGCTAAGACGCTAGAAGAAGAAACAGCATAAAAAACGAAGAAATTAATTTTATTTCGTGGAACATTTGAAATTTAATTCTAATTTGTATAACAAAAGTTCTACTTGCGGGAGCAAAAAATTTGTTATTAATTTATTAACATACAATGAATCAAAACCGAGAGATGAAATAAACAAAATTTACGAAGAATAAATT